ACCTCTGTGAAATTAAGCTAAATTTAAAGGATTTGCGCCAAGAGTTATAGCCATTTCAATGAATTTTTTTTTACTGAGAATGAAGAGTTTTCAAAAAATCCAAAACAATGAGTTTCTACCTGAACGTTTCCATGGAAACAAACATGTCTTTCTCGAGACAATTGATTTCTAACTGGATTCGATTATTGTGTCTTCCTATCGCAAATTGCTGCTTTTTTACGTATTGATTATCTCGAGAAAAACATGTTTATTTTCATTGAAATTTTTAAGATTATCAAAAGTCTCTATAGGCAAATTTCAGATCGAAAATCTTTGCTTTTGGTTTTTCGGAAATACCTTGCTGTCAAAAATCGTTTGAATTGAAAAGTCATCACTCTTTATGAGTAAGCCATAGGTTCAAATCCTTTTAAGCTTAGCTTCGTCTCATCAAGACGTACTCATAGCCATCATATAAAATCGAACAACGTCCGACAGTTAGATACGTTATCTCATAAGTGGAAATATTCTTTATGATACATGATTCAGTAGAGCGAATTTCACTCTACATAATGAATACTTTTTATTGTTGTAGCTCTCCTTTGAGTAAGAGTTTTAAAAAAGTCAGTTTTAGCCAATTTTAATGTTCAATATTATTAGAAAGAACACTACAAATTTTATGGTTTCATTCACATATTGAAGAAGGTATGAAAACCAGCAATGTTTAAATTTTCAGAAAACAAAATTTCCTTCGTAAATAATCAAATTTCGAAAACTACTCTCACAAGAAGATGATATCAGCTAGAAAATTCATAAGTTAATATAATTTCCATAACAGCAATTGAATTAATCTGTTCGAAACTACTTAAGTTTCAAGACAATTTTCTAACGTTATCCTGGATAGCAGAAGTGGATTTGTGAGAAATTTTGATGATTATGCCGACACCATAAGAAAATGTCGAAGTTCCTAGAACAGTACTGAACAATTTTCATAGAATTTCGATTATAATCCCTTCAGAACAAAGAAATTCAAACTATTTTTACAAAATCTAAGCATCTACAAGGGAATATTATTGAGAAACTTCTGCAAACAATACGTCATAATGTTGACGGAAATTTCGATCCAAATGATTGATAGTAATAGCTTTTTTGATTTTTCCAAAATAATCGTTATATATACTAATGAAGTGGGAAATAACCGAACGTAGCTGGAAGAAAACATGAATGAAAGGAAAAATTCCTTAGCAATATCCAAAGGAGATAATATTTTGGAAAAACTCTAATGAAGAAAAGAATATATATATATATGTAGTACTGGCCATCTGTAATTCAGGTCAGTAGTCGCGATCGAATTTCAGTAATTACTGCAAAAATACTATCAAACTTTCAGTAGACGTGGAAATAATATAGATTGCTTTCATATAAATATGAGTGTATTTTCATATTAAATAGAAGATTCGTCCCACTTGAGATATTGGTAATTTCCACTATTTCTCAGTAAATACAAATACTACGAATAATTGTTGCATATAGGATTTTTTTTCATATTATAATATTAATATCTATGTGTAATGAAGCAGGTGATTTCTTTATTTTGTTAAATTCCCTAGTAATTTGATATTACTTAGTCAGAATATGTCAATGTTAGGAGTGAATCAATGTGATTTGTATCGATATTTTTATAAGTTTCTTAATAATGCTTTTATTTTGCTACAATAGTTATACTTTTTAATTTATATAATACGAAAGTGCATCGGTCACACTATCTACAATATTTTGAAATCGTTGAAATCTTTGATGATTGCTTGTAGGATTTATATACTATAAAAACTTGTAACTAATTATTAGTAAATTTAACTATCTACTGCTTCTTATAAGTCTAATGTTCGACAATTATCTTTGAATATTACTTATTCGTTGTAATGATTTGTCAGTAGTGTTCAGATGGAGAAATCAAGAACATTCACAAGTATTGGAAATATCCACATTTCGTATCTAGGGTTTTCCCAACATCACGTATTGAAAATTTTCCACTATGCTATCTTAGATCGTATAGAGAATTTTCCCAACCTACTCTTCTTCATTGTATCTTCTCTTCTTCTATTATTCTTCTGTTTGTCATCATAAACAAGATATTACTAATAAACTGAACTCACATTCGCCAAAAACTTACAAGTAGAATATTTAATGTATGTAGAAGTTTTAAAATTAATTTTATTTTCAAAGCTTTTCTATTATTGAAAGAACTTGTAATTGATATGAAGTATTTTTTGTAATTTCTTAACTCACAATCATCATCGATTTAACTACAGTTTTTATTCTATCCATGTGACTTGTACGTACTTTTTTGTTTACAATATAAAATCAAGATTTATTTCCGCATGATCATATCGATCGATTACTTTTCATTTGTATTGACTCATAACATTAGCAATCAACATTAAGGTAATAAATGGAGCGTGAAGCCTATCAAATGAAACTAGGTATTGTCCAACATAAACAGATGACTACTATAGATACTGATCTCATGTATGTTTATTCATGCGTCCATTCGTATCATGGAAATTTATCAGGAAGCAATGAAAATAGTACTGAACGATAGATATATAAGTGATTGAGTGGAAAAAAATCAAATTAAAAGGATTTATTTTAGACTGGAAAGAAAGAGATAATAATCAGTTAATTTCGATTTTTTCCTTTCTCTTTCCCACTGAGGTTATAAAATCATAAAAGAAAACCATAAAATATGTATATAATGATAAGCTATCAAGATTGCTTTGTTACAATGCGTTGTGATCTATAGATATCTTTGAAGTAGTGGCACGATCATAAAAAGAAATTTATGAAGAAGGAAAGGGCTCACATTAACACTGATAATACTTCAAAGTTTTCAACAGTGACTGAAAAATAGCTAGAAGTAAGTCGAATCCGTTCTAACTTTTTTATTTTACTATGCTACTCTTCGCTAGAACTGTGAGTAGTTCTTAATATTATATCATACAGTGCTTTTTTTTATATATGTAATTATTAGAATCATATATTGCGATGCTTTAACGAAATAAACAAAGTTTTCACATTTATCTTTTTAATTTATTCAACACCGATCTATTTTCTTCCTCTGATATTGAAACATGAACATTATTTATAATAGTTGACGTAACCTTTTGCAGGAAAAAAAATATTATTTGATTTGTTTTTAGATTAATATTTTATTAGATTGAGTATTTATTCTATCAAACAACAAATTCTTTAGACAGAAAATAAATGGAATTGATTTTTCTTTCAATAAACAAAGACATAATCCTACTATTAACCTCAGAAACTGAGTTTGTGTTTCATGCTTCCGAGGGTAGACAGTGTAATAAGGGAATGTCTCATAGAGGAAGTAAAAAAAATAAAAAAATGTAGGTAATCTGATTAGACAATATGAATAATTTTCAATTATTGGGGAAGATATATGTGTGCCTCCCCCCGCTGTCACAGTTTTTGATTACTTTTTCTATACTGATTGATTTTTTCTAAGAATAAATAACAATTATATATAACGATGCATTTTATTTGTTGGAAATCTCCAAACAGCAAATGACTAACTTCCTTCTGGCGTAATACGGAAGTTGTACACACTTTGCATATAAATATAGCTGACATATGACGCAATGGACAATGTGGAAGTCCATCATTTTCGCTTAATCCACAGTCAGCTTCACACCCTATATATATACATCCGTGGATTCCTGTGAAGACGGAGAAGAATATCTTGCCTTTCAGCTACCGTGCAGGACAGAATGCTGTTCAGAGACAGCTTCAAAAACCGATCTGACTCAGTTCTTTTTCTCAATCATTCGAGCTTCCCGCTTACACTGACTACTGCATACTAGCCACATGGACTACCGTGTATCACAATGTAGTCAGTATACCATTCTATAGATAATTCAAGCGAAACAACCATTAGTGACTTGTCCAAAGTTATTTCACGCATGATAATGTGGAGGCTCGAACACAATACCTTGGTAGTATGTCCCAAACAACTTAACCACTCAGCTATAGCGATATCAGATCCGTTTGATCAATTCTGCTTTCTTCAAACTGGTTTTGAATCCTCTTCTTCATTGTCAAGTTCATAGAAAGACAGTCTAAAAAGCATCGAAGACAAAAAGAAATACGAATTTACTCGATCAATTTAACCAATTATGGACAATAAGGCAAGCATATATGTGAAGTAATGGATGTTTATGGTACTAAGATAATGTCACCAATATATATCTTACTGATTGTTTCAGAATCGACTTCGATTATTTGTCAAGGTTTTATGATCCAAAATCATTCAAGAATAAAACTCTTTTAATATGTATCAGAACTTTTCTCACTCAATTCAATCAATGATTTTTAAATAAATGTTAGTAGAACTTTTGATACTTTTTGAAGCTTGAATTGAATCAAACCGAATGAACTTTTGTCGAAAGTACAAACCAAGTGAGATTCAGTTCTAAAACAAATTGATTCTATTTTCGTTCTTTACTCTGTATTTTCTATCAGTTTAGTCTTGTTATGGAATGGTGCATTCTACATACTTGCTATTCTTTTTAAAGTGTACTTGATCAAGCCTTGATGGAAGTTTATACAATGCAGGATTCATCAATCTGTTCCAAATAAAATAAAAGATTTTATTAACATTTATTTCAGTTAATTGTCAAAAAGTCTCATATCATTCGAAAACAGTTGATACATGTTATAAGCGTTTATTCTTGAATCACAAAAGCTAGACAAATAATCCAAGTTGATTCTGAAATATTCTCTCAATATAATACTCATCTGATAAGTTCGTATTCTTTTTTCATCTTCAATGCTTTTTCTGACTGTCTTCGGATGAACTTGACAATAAAAAAGAAATCCAAGATTGATTCCAAGATAATAGTATCGATTCCATGGTTTAATTACTATATGCATATTTAGTTATCGATCAACTTGTGTTGAAAAGAGCTGTGTAATAAAAAATATTCATTGCTTTCTATCTTAGAATTATAATGTGTGAGACACATGATCCAAATTTCATGGAAGACAGTCGATCATTATCACAAGTGAGTTATATTTAATTATTAGTGAATTGATATTTATTATTCTTGAAATAATACTTTTGTTTTTTCAGTGCCTTAATAGAAGGATTGGTTTCGATGCAAGAAACAAAGATTCCCTAGTAACATATATTTGTTGGTTTTGTAGTTTCTTATTAAGAAATCCTATTCAATTGATATGTGGGCATCGCTTTTGTCAATCATGTATAAATGTTGAAGAAAGGTAAGCATGATTATTTTCCTTTGTGTTTTTATATGTCAATTGATTTGAATTAAATTTTTTTTTTGTTTAAAGTTCTATAGTCAAATGTAACATTTGCAATGAAGTGACACCACGAGATCAAGTAAGATAAACTTTTTGTTTGTTTTTCTTTACAATTATGTTTAATATGTTCTGTTTTGATTTTAAGATAATTCTTGATAAGGGTTGTCAACTTGACATGGAGAAATTAAATATTATGTGTTCACTTTGCGAGTGGAGTGGTATACTTCAGAACTATCAAGTAATATTGTGCTTGATGTTTTTTCCTCTTATATATTGCTGTGATTCTTTTTCTTTCTCTTTTTCAGAAACATTTAGATACAGTTCATTTGAATCCTGTCTGTGAATATTGTAGTAAAGAGTTCAAAACAGTTGATGATTTAAACCAACATATATCTATTTGTGAGAAACTCATTGTCAATTGTCTTCTCCAACGATATGGCTGTACTGAACAGGTATTTAAGAAATTTTAATTTTAATTTTATTACTTATCAAAGATCTTATTCTTTTTAGTTCCTTCGTGTGAACACACGAAGCCATTTTCTAAGCGAACAACATCAAAGTGTTTTACTTCAATATCTTTTTAAATATAGGCAACATTTAATCAATGATCAATCAGACATGTCTTCTCATACAACAATAACTACCAATAGAGAAACTAAGGAGATTTCTCATGCAAATTTTAAACCATTATTTGAAACAGCGGATATTCTACTGGGTGGGATACAATCGTTAAATGATGACATTCAACATGTTAGTTCAGAGTTACTTCATCATCAAAATTCAATACGATACTTGTCCGATGACTTATCAAAAATGAAAATCGCTATCGAAGAAACACATTCATCAATAGATGCTCAAACAACCAATCAACAAATATTTGAAGAAAGTATCAATTCACTTCAACAACAGCTTGATGATTTCAAGAATATTTTTACTGATGGCACACTGATATGGAGAATTGCAAATGTTCAACATAAAATAGGTATGTTTAAAAGAGTGACTTTTTTTCAGTCAAGTTTCATTTGACAAAAAAAAGCATTAATTAATTTCAAAAAGAAATTTAAATGAACTATAGTATCGAAATTTTCATTTCTATATTTTTCTTTTCAACTTTTTTAGTTGATGCTGAATGTGAACGGCAGATATCTATTTATTCTCCTGTATTCTATTCATCACCGAATGGTTATAAGATGCGACTTCGTCTATATTTGGCCGGAGATGGTAATGCTCGACGCACTCATATGTCTCTTTTCTTTGTACTGATGCGTGGCGAATATGATTCGGTGCTTCAATTTCCTTTCAGTTATAAAGTAACATTTTGTCTCCTTGATCAAACTTCTCAACAACGACATATTATCGATTCATTTCGACCTGATGTGAAATCAAGCAGTTTTCAAAGGCCTTGTTCAGATATGAATATCGCTTTTGGTATACCTAAATTTGTGCCTCTAACGATAATACAACAGGATAATAATCCCTATGTTCGTGATAATACTATGTTTATCAAAGTCATAGTTGATTTTGGTGAGTTGCCAAAGTCCTTGGTACCATATACATTAAGTCTCAATCCTGGTTTACCAATTCTAATTCAACAAGAGTGGATCAGACGCGAATTTGAAAAACGAGCACAAGAAAAATTAGTAAATACAACTGAAACATCTACATTCAGCAATCAGAATGTCAGAACTGAGGTGAACGGCAACCATGATGAACAGATGATGCAATAATTGATTGAAAAAGTTGTTTTTCGCAAATTTTTGTAAATCTGAAATAATATAACAGTCTAAACAAGAAATTGATGTAAACTTTTTTTTTCAAGATACAACGAAAGAATCAAATGCAAATTTAGAGAACTATGAATCACGAGTGAATATTCTAAGTTCAAGGTAATTCTCTTTTTTACTCATACCCATACTCCACACCGACATCCACACTCTCATTCATTGTTGTTATTCTTCTTCAAGCTTTTCAGAACGACTGTTTTTCTTTTTCTGACAAGAATGAAAAAAACTAGCAAAAGTATTGTCAATTTGCTTTTTTTCGAGTACGATTGTCATGGACATTTTGGTATATGTGGTAGGCGAATTTAGAGTACAATTAAGATTAGAATAGTATTTTATTATTTTGTAATAAAAGATATCCTGATTCTACTAGCAAATAAGAACTTGTTTTTCGTTAATATGATTTAGTTATATTCTGAAGTTTTCTTGATAATAGAGATTTGTTCCAATTGTTATTCTATAGATAAATAATAATAAGTTAAATGTATTAATTTTGTTGAGACGATACTTTTTTCATTTCTGGAACATAGAAATGTTAAAGGATTGGCGAAAGTTCAATTGTAAAAAAAATGTAAATGAATTGTTTTTTTTTCTATAGATGGCATATTTTCGATAATCTCAGGGACATTAGGATCTTGAATGATTGAGATGGCAGTGTTTTAGAAAAATGTTCTTGCTTTTATATATGTATTCACACAAGCAGCGGTTGATATGAGCGATTTTGAAAAGCAAAGTTGCATTCTATTATATGTGTATCTTATAATTATGATATTAGAGCATAATGAATGGTTGTAAGAACTAAAGAAATTGAAAGTTAATTTTGTTGTTTCAGTAGTATAATCGATTGTATATAACGCGTATACGTTCTTATTAAATTTTGAATCGAATTTTTCGATAACACGGTAAAAGAAAAACCTAGAAAAAAAAAAACATTTAATTTTTTTAGTCACTATATTTTATGTGATTTAATTTTGTGAACTCTTATCTAAATAAATTAGTTCACGTTGTTGGTAAATCTTTATTCCTTTATAATTTTTGTCTCAGGAAATCTTTTAATTAATTCGCACATTCTAAGCTCAATTAAGTTGTCATGCCAAATGTAACATGTACTTCACATGATTAACAATTAATTCAAGTAAAAATAGCTGTTCTTGTTGTGCGTCATTCTCAACGATTTGTATTCTGTTTCATGGTTACTAAAGTAATTATGTGTTCTCTAATTAGACTTCGATATTGGTGAAAAGATTAAAGCACTTCAATAGAAATTTTTCATATACATAAGGCAAATATTCAAAAGTTTTAATCACTATTGGAACAATTATCGTCGGGTAAGATCGTAAAGCTGCCGGCACCTTCTATTTGAGTGGGTGGGATGCGGGTGTAGACGTGTGTGTGTTTCGAGGTATGGGTGAGGATGATGTGTCAGTTACACCCACACCCACATCCTCGACTTTTGGGGCACACGAAGAAAAGATTATTTATTTTTATAAAAAAAAAAGTAGTAGTACCCATCAAAACGTACAATATAAACTATTTACGAATATACAATCAAAAAACAAGAAAGAAAAGGTTATAAAATGAAATCTCATCATATCTCAAAGTGAAAACAAGCAAGTGGTTTTCATGAAGCATGGTCATTTTAATCATTTCGAAATCAGTTTCACATATTTAATAGTGTAAGGTATAGGTCTAGAGATAAATATTTATGATAAGAAACAACAGAAACTTCTACATGCTTGGTTTGATGAAATCATAATAAAATTATTTTACTTCGTTTATACCTGCATTTTTTTATTGTACGAACAAATAATACATTATCTATTTGAGTACCATATCAGATACGCAATTACGTCGTTCAAAATAACTGAAAACAACATTGACAAAAATGCTTCAACACTCACAAATATTGCTATTGAAGAAAATAAACAATAAGCTAATAATCCTAATTTGGATAATTTTGATTTATGTTCTTTTTACTGAGACAGTGAATTTTCATTGTACCTGTTTTTATTTAATTTTTGAAACAGAAATAAATATGGAACAAATTCATCAGCAATGTTTCTGATTGAATTATCTCTAAATGATTCATCATCGTCATGACATTCTTCAGCAGAATCAACTGTACTTTACGATCAACAAATAATGATAAAAAATGCGTACTTGAGATCA